ACCACAACCCCACAAGATAGGCACCACACATCTCTCTTGACTTACGATAGGGTCACACCCCAATAAACCCACTGTAAGTTGAAAAGATCCTAAGTCAAAAATGCATTTAATACACCTAACCAACTAAACATCATAGCTTAGCCTAGCCTGCCTTAAACGTATATTAGCCTATGCTGATATTAGCCTACAGTTGGGCAAATTATCTAACAAAGCCTATTTGATAATAAAGTGTTGAATATCTCATATAACTTGTTGAATTTTTTTTAAAGATTTTATTTATTTATTTGACAGAGATACAGCGAGAGAGGGAACACAAGCAGGGGGAGTGGGAGAGGGAGAAGCAGGCTTCCCACTGAGCAAGGAGCCTGATGTGGGGCTCGATCCCAGGACCCTGGGATCATGACCTGAGCCGAAGGCAGATGCTTACTGACTGAGTCACCCAGGCATCCCTAATTTATTGAATATTGTACTGAAAGTGAAAAAACAGAAGGGTTGTAAGTATATTAGTTGTTTGTCCTCATGATTGCGTGGCTGACTGGGAGCTGTGGCACCCTACCATACTGCCCAGCATTCTGAGAGAGGATCATCCTGCATGTGGCTAACCCAGGAAAAGATCCAAAGTCAAAATTCCAAGTATGGTTTCTACGGAATTCATATTGCTTTTACAATTCATACCATTGTAAAATTGAAAAATCATAAGTTGAACCAGCATAAGTTGGGGACCTTCCGTAGTATTGTATTATCCACACCCTACATGTAAATAAATTGAGGCACAGAGAAGTTAAAGAATTTGCTCAAGGGGCGCCTGGGTGGCTCAGTCTTAAGGTCAAGCGTCTGACTCTTGATTTCAGCTCAGGTCATGATCTCAAGGTCGTGAGATCAAGCCCCGAGTTGGAGCCTGCTTGGGATTCTCTCTCTCTCCCTCTTCCTCTGTCCCTTCCCGCATGCGCACACACACACTCACTCTCTAAAAATAAATAAATAAATAAATAAATAAATAAATAAATAAATAAATAATAAAATAAAATAAGATAAAGACTTAAGATCATACAGCTATTAAGTGGCAGAATATTTGAGCCCAGGCAGTTGGCCTCTGAGCCAACACTCCTCACAAGGATTCCCCACAATCTCTCACAAGAGATTGTTAATGCTTTGAAGAAAGGCTTCGAGCTTGCCTTGAAGAAAGTTCCGAGTCACCACCCTCATGAAGCCCACAAAGAGCAAGAACAGCACTTGAGACCAACTGTGTAGACTACAATTTGGCCCAGTTAAAGAGACTTTTGCCCTTTTCCTCCCCAGCCCCTGCTCATCCTAACATAACAAGGACTGGCACGTAGAAGGAAGCCAGGATGAATGCAAATAGCAAAACACCAACTCACTCCCACTTCCCAAGCCACCAGAGCTAGGGGTAGATCTAGGCTGTCTGGAGGGTAAGGAGGAAGAAGGCTTTGATTCCAGTTTGAAACTGACATTTAAAATGAACTTGATACCAAATTTCAGAGTAAAATCTTAAAAACCAAAAGTTTTAGTGTTTTAGTAGCTGAAAGTGGCTAGAAAGTTGTGGAATCTGGCAACATGTCCTCCGTGGGAAAGGGGACTTCATTGTTGCACAGTTCAGGGGCAGGTATTTGGTGAGGGTTGCCGGCGGGGAGGACCATTTCATGGTTTTTGTCATGAGACTTCACACTGAACATTCTTTCTCTTTTGAGGTGATTTATCCTCTCCATTATTTGTTAGGTAGGCAGGGGCATTCTTACTAACCTCATTTCCAAGTGTTTAGGAGAATAATGCTTTACTATAGTCCCCCGATTTAGACACATTATACAAACTAACAATACAAACTACTTGTACCAGTGATAGAGGGATTAGAAAGGACTTCACTATGGGGATGACCCTTGAGCTGAGTCTTGGTTAGTTAATTGGCTGAGACAAGTCTCAAGGTTTGAGGGGCTCCTGGGTGGCTCGGTCAGTTAAGCATCCGACTCTTGATTTGGGCTCAGGTCATGATCTCAGGGTCCTGGGATCAAGCCCCTCAGCAGGGTCCTGGGATCAAGCCCCTCGGCGGGCTCCAAGCTCAGCGGGGAGTCTGCTTGGGATTCTTTTCTCCCTCTCCCTCTGCCCCTCCCCACCATGCACATTCTCTCTTTCTCTCTCTTTCAAAATAAATAAATCTTTTTTAAAAATCTCAAGGTTTAGGGGCGCCTGGGTGGCTCAGTCGTTAAGCGTCTGCCTTCGGTTCAGGTCATGATCCCAGGGTCCTGGGACCGAGCCCCACATCGGGCTCCCTGCTCAGCAGGAAGCCTGTTTCTCCCTCTCCCACTCCCCCTGCTTGTGTTCCCTCTCTCTGTCAGATAAATAAATAAAATCTACAAAAAAAAAAACTCAAGGTTTGAACTTGGAAACAGTTTGAGAGGTTTGACCCTATAGCAGGACATTCTAGACCCAGATAGTCTGAGGAAAGCCAAGATGGGTATAGTAGAGGACCGCAGGACTCCTAGGACCTACTATGGCTTCCTCAGCCAAACTGTGACAAGACCTCGACAGCCACATAACCACTAAATTCTGTGATGTCATAAATAACTCTGATTGCCCTAGTCACTGTATTTAAGTCTCTGCTCAACAAAGTCCAAGTGATATACTTCCACAAAATAACTTACATTCCTAACACAACTTACATTTGGGCATGTTGCTAAAGTAAATTTTCCTCCTGATTCCCACACTAGTCATTGTGCTCTTTGGAGTATTGTTTTGGCTTTCCTTTTCCTCTTTTCTTACTTTTATTATAATGCCTTTTATACTGCAGGCTTAGACTAAATAAAGTCACAAAAAAATAGGACAAGGGAAAGTTGCTGCTGAAGTAAAGTTGCCTTGTCAAGAAGCCAAAGCTGTGTATATAAGGAGTCTGTCCTGTGAACTGCTCAGATAAGATAATAGGGAAGGGAAACAAAAATTCAGATTGACGAAGTCCTTCGGAGAAACTTACTCCAGGCCTTACTTCCGCTCTAACTTAAAGACAAAGAATTTTCACTATATACTACCATCTGAAATACAGTAAGTTAAAAAAAAAAAGTTCAAAAGAAGCAGGTATTTAAGGAAACAACTTAAAATTTACTTACGAAGGAAATCCTAATGAAATTTTCCTAAAAATGATACTCCAGTTAAGCTTCACCTAAACAGTACAGCCTAGTAAAATTCATAACCTGGTCTTCTCTCAGAGCCTTTGTACTTGCTGCTTTCCCCACCTAGCAAGGTCTTCCCTGGACATAAACATGGCTCATCCTTTTGCTTCTGTCTCTGCTCAAATGCCTCCTGGTCACAGAGGCTTCCCTGGACACCCTATCAAAAGAGGTACCCTGCGACACCTGGCTCCTCAGTAGAGCATGCGACTCTTGATCTCAGGGTCGTAAGCTCAAGCCCCATGTTGGGTGTAGAGTTTACTTTAAAAAGGGGTGGGGGAGGCTCCTTGGTGGCTCAGTCGGGTTAAGCGTCTTGACTTTTAGTTTCATCTCAGGGTCTTGGGATTGAGACCCACATCAGGCTCTGCACTCAGCACAGAGTCTGCTTTTCTCTCTCCCTCTCCCTCTGCCCCTTCCCTCTCCTCCCTTGAATAAATAAATAAATCTTTTAAAAAGAGAGAGAGAGAGGGAGGGAGGGAGGGAGGGAAGGAATGAGCGCTACCCCTACCAAGGCCCACCCACCTGGAGTACTTCCCAGGCTCTTTATTTTTCTCTTCTTTATTTCTCTCCATAGCAATCATCATCACCTGAGTGGGGTTTTGTTTTTTTTTGTTGTTGTTTTTCTTTTTTTCCCATTGGTTTGTCTGTCTTCTCCCATAACCTCCCTGAGGAATGTCTGTTTGGTTTCCTCCAATAGCCTTACAGGAGAACGAACAATCCCTGCCAAGTAGTAGGCATTCAATAAAAATTAGTTGAAATAATGAAAGAATAAATGATCATGATTTTCAAAGTTTGGTTGAATTACTATTTATTTATGCACTGAAATAATTTTTCTCTATAGGAGTACTTGAAATATGATCATGTAAATATTTAGACTAAAAATCATGAGACTTAAGCCCCAGCTCTGCCTTTGATTTCTTGTGTAACCTGGTTAGCTAATTTCTTGGGAGCTTCTTCACCTTATATATCTGACACCCTATGGGTTGCAACCCTGACTCTAAAATCCAACAGAAAAATAGATTCCACATTTAAATATTCTCTGTGTATGTCACCTTTTTGTTGCATATGTATGGCATAAAACATAGTACAGCTATAAAAGGCACCTGATGGGGTTCAGAATTAACATCCACAAAATGTGCCACTTGGCATGCAGATTATTTGAAGCTGAAGACAATCTAGGCCCAAAGACTCAGGAAGAGCTTTTTATCTCCCCCTTAACTGCCTCTAAGAATTTAGAAAGAGGGCCTGATCCAGGAAAACAGCTATCACCGGAGAGAACTACAAAGAGTATGGGCTAGGTGCAGCAAGCCAGAAGGAGCTTGGCAAGGGCATGTTTTTGTTCAAATTCCTCTCTGTGTCCCCTGTCTCTGCATGGCATGGCACGGCAAAACATTTGTTTACCAAACATTTGCTCTTCCCACCTTCCTGTGAATTGTCTTCCTTCCCTTTGAAGCCCCAGGCCCCACCTTCTCTTTAGTTCGGGGTAGCATATGAGCCTCAGTTGCCTGTCGTGGAGGCTCTCCTGTCCTTGTGAGGTGTCCACACATAAGAAATTAAACTTATTTTTCTCCTATGAACCTCATCAATTTAATGAATATACCAGCCAAAAGAACTCAGGAAGACAGAGTAAACATTTTTCCTCCCATACACACCAAACAGCTCAAGACTTTTTTTCAGCTACACTTGGAAAGCTGTTTCAAATATGTTAAATTACCAACCAGACGTAAAGGCCAGGGGGAAATCAAGATGATTTCAGGAATAATGTCTTTAAGTCTCTTACGGACCAGAATGTCTAAGTCCGTTATGGGAAGAACGTATTTAATTAGATAAGACAATACATGTAAAGTGATTTACGTAGCGCCTCGGAAGGTAACAGGTGTTCAATACATTCGCTAACAATTATGCTACTTGAAGAATCTCTCAGCTGGTAAGAATTTTGAGTATCGTCTATCCCTCGATTATCAAGTATTTAGAGAGAAGTTTCGTTTTCTGAATAAAGATGATTATAGTCACACAATCGTGCAGAATGCCCCCCAGTGTGGGTACAAATGAAGACCAACAAAGCCCAAGTCTTAACCAGTAAGCTCTGTTGCCTCCTCGGAGAAAGGACATGACAAACAACCGACGGGCAGAACCTGAGGGACAAAGCCCTGCTCCGTCTTCCCCACTCCTAAATTTTCCCGCCAGGCCCCGCGCTCCACCCTAACGCAGCTGCGGATTCTCTCCGCCCCCAGCTCCTCAGCCCCTAGTTCCCGTCATCCCCTGGGCTCTCCCCTTCCCCGGCCGAAATCCCGCGTGGGCTCTTTTCCTCCGCGCTGGTCGCTAGGTGATTCCCGAGGACTGTGGGAAGTCTCGCGAGGGGGGGTCCCGTTGCCCTGGAAACGAGTGGCCTCGCCTCTTGCGGGGCGAAGGGCGTGGCTGGGGCTGTTAAACTACAGCGGCGTTGCTTCCAGCTACTAGACTGTCGGTGTCTCCGGTAGGACGGCTGCTCCCGCCAGGGAACGGACGACTGGCCAGGCCAGAGGACTCGGGGCGGGGGCGAGGGCCCGGCCAAGGCGGTCGAGAGGGGAAAGACATCGCAGACGGGACGCCCCCTGCGGGAAGCGAGCGCGCCTGGAAGACCGCGCGTTCCAGAAAATGGGCTCCTTCCCATACTGCCGCGTCCAGAAGTGAGGGTGGGAGGAACACCTTGCCGACACCACTTGTGGCTTAAAAGGCCCCAGTCCTCCCCACCTAGAAAGTGACCGTGCCTGCCCGCAGACCTGCCCGGCGCGGCTGGGCTTGGAAGCGTCTGCTTTTGCCTCTTCTGCCGCCGACGTGGAAGCTACGCAGGAGGCGCCCATCAGATAATCTGTGTGTGTGGCTTTCCTGAAGCCCAGGTTTTACATTACAGCAGGTCAGCACGCTGGTGTGCCGCCTGTGTTCGTGTAAGGCAATAGGATCAGGATTTATGCCAAGTTTTCCAAATTTGGAATTGTGGTGATCCCCAGATTGAGACTTAAGTCTCAATACTGGCGGGGTCTTCCCTCTTGCATTAGTAGTTATTTGCTCTGTGTAGAGAGGAGCATAAACCAATAGATTGGAAACTGGCAAATTCCTTTGGTCTCTCAAAAATAGTAGAATCGTAGCAAGGAATTTCTGTTACTCCATTGTCTTAATAGCCACTTGGGAGGATGCTTGCATGGGAGGAGTAGTGGTCATGGCCAATATAACCTTCTGATAGCTATTGAGATTTAAGAATAATTGAATATTAGAGACAGTATCTACAGAATATTAACCAAAATATAAAGAGAAAAGTGTATTGTAGTCATTTGAGCTTTTGGTCAATTGAAAATTAAGCAGAAAAAAATTTAAACTGTGTTGTTAGATTTCATTGCCTGAGTAAGTAACTATAATTTTTCTTTCATTCGTGATCTTTTTAAATGCCTCAGGATCATTCTGAACTTGCTATGCCCTGTGGTAATGTAAATACAGGATGTAAATGATTTGGCTGTGTAGCCTGGAGATTTCTTTTTTCAATTAAATTATTTACTTGATTAGTCTTTTATTGTGATTTTTGTCTCTTTTTCATGGAAATGGAAAATTTCTTCAAATCTTTGAAGCTGAATGTTTAATTAGCTGTGTCCTAATTAATTTAGCTTTTAGAGAAGCCTGTTGTCACTGTTAATTAAACACAATTGGATATATCTGGGGTTACTCATTTAATGTAATAAACACCTTCAAGTTAAACAGCAAACTGTCAAATAAGTTGCCTAGAAATTGTTTTACAGCCTACCTACATAATAAAAGAAATTTCAAGCCAGATATTGGAAGAAATGTCAGAAGATTCAGAAAAGGAAGACTATTCAGACAGAACAATCAGTGATGATGAATCCGTATGTTTTTTTTCAACTTTATCCCACTTAATTTCAGATAAAACTTGTTATAAATTCCCAGTAAAAATATTACAAAATCAGTTGGTTGTAAAAATCAATTGATGTTTAAACCACTTGTCACTGAAGTTGGAAAATAATTTGAAAGCCAAGATACTACTATGTGCAGTATGCCTTATCTAGAAAGAGAACCTATATTGATATTTTTGAGAAAATATTTTGGCTAAGATTCCTCTGAGTTTTACTTAACAGTGTGTATTAAATCATTACTAAGGTTTTATTTTTATAATTCATGTTCACTTATATGTATTCTGTTACATCATAATATGTATCGTAATACCAGATCCCCTGTGTTCTAAACCTGGGTATCACCATAATAGGTTTAATGTGGCTCTGATGTAACAAAGGAAAGGACATGGAGGAAGAAAAAGGGAAAAACAAAATGCAGTATTTCAAAATAGTTTGTCTGGTTCTGGTACATATGAGAGATTTCCTTCAGATTTTAGTAAAATGTAAATTATCAGGTATATAAGTTAAGGTCCCAAAATAAGCTCCCTAAAATAATGTATCACTCTTTAAGTCCATGGCTTTCTGTGCTGCTTTTCTTTTTGTTAACTTTATTGAAGTTTAAATTGTCTTGCCAGGTTTCCAGGAATTTTTAAACTGTATTTCCTCCGTACAGTCATTAATATGACCGTATCCAATGAAAGAAGGGGGATGAAAACTTGAAGGTTTCAGGATATTTGAAGTATTGGGCACTTTGAGACCAGTGGCCCATAATAATCCTTTGATTTTTTTCATTCATTACAGAATAGAAAGAAGCACTCAATTCTAAGTACTAAAATAGATGTAAAAAATTTCTGGATGTGGAAACTTGGTTTTTTAAAAATATTTTAAAACTCTCCTGTTTTAGGATGAGGATAACTTCATGAAATTTGTAAGCGAAGATATCCACCGGTGTGCACTTTTAACAGGTTTGAACTTATCCATATATTCTCCCTTCTCTTTAGGATAAGACCTTGAGTATTCACTCAGGGTCAGTGAAAAATAAGAAAATGAAGAAACTAGAAAAAATTCAGATTGAATAATATAGAAGTGTATTCTGATATTGGATAAGGAAAGAAAATGTATCCACTTTTATAAGAATCTTTTGGAGCTCAAACTTTTAAGGTTTTAGGTAAACCTGATATTTAATGAAACTAAATAAAAGTTGTCATTACTTTATAAAGGAATACACTTAACATAAGGATTTAAATAGGCATTTCTTTAAATAACTAGCTCTTAAAATTTACTGTATGACTCAAGTTATAATGGACACTGTTTTGAAGTACATTTTTATTTAAATGAAGTTTGCCTGTATAGTTTCCTTAAGTGATTGATTTGCAAATGAACATATATATGGAATCTTGATGTATACTTTATTTTTTTTAAATGTATACATTTAGAGGGTTTTTTTAGTGTATATCTAAAATATTTCTTCTTAGAATTCACATATCTATCACAAGTAATCTGAAATTGAAATAAGGCTTTAATTTATCTTTTTTCCTCTTTTTCTTTTTTTTCTTTTCCTTTCTTTTTTTACCATCATCCTAAAACAAATCTTTTGAGATACCTACTATTCTCAGTTTGGTATGTATCCTTCTAGACCTTTTTCTTTGCATTTATACACATATCTATACCCATACTCATAGAAAATTTGTAGTACTAATTTATGGACTTCTTGCCATCCTTTTTTTCTTTTTAAAATTTTGCCAATCTGTTGGAAGAAAGGAGGTGACTCACTGTTTTCACTAACATTTCCTTTATTGCTGAAGAAATTGAGAATTATTTTATATGCTTGTCTCTAGTCACTCTTATAATGAATTGCCTGTTCATAGTAATCCTTTTTTAATGTTGCTTCTATTATTTAGAATTATTTTGATGTTAAATTTATCATTTATTTGTGGCTCTTTATTTTTATATCTGTTTAAGCTTCCCTACCCCAAGGTCACCAATATAATCATCTAAGTTTAAATACTTTGAATTTTGGTATTTAATTTCTCTATAATTTACATTTATGAATAGTATGAGATATGGATCTAATTTTATTTTCTAATTCATAGCTGCCTTGCCATTTTTGAGTCATATCATAAATTAGACAAAATGTGGTCTGTTCACATAATGAAATACTAGATGCTTAGTAACAGTCTGTTGAATAAATGGATCTAAATAACAATCCTGAGAAGTAGCAAGGGAAGGTGTTATTATTTCTTATTCACATACAGTAAAATTTATGTTCAAAGAGGCTGCATTAGCCAAGCAAAATCGTATAGAAACAAAGTGGTAGAATAGAACTCAGTTTGTCTGACTCCTAGTCCAACTTGCTATATCTGCTCTTGTACAAAAATAGCCCCAAACTAAATCTAGGTAAAAAGCCACGTTTTGGAGGTGGTAGAGCAAGAGGAGACAAATGGAGAACCAAGTATGTGAACAGTAGGGAGAAAACCAGAAAGTGTAGCATCATAAAAGACAAGGTACAGGAGCTTAGGGAGGGGAGATTATCCACAGCAATTTGATGCCCCACAGCTAGCCCATTGAAAGAGACAGGGCCTCTGCACTACCTACTTGGGGCAACCCCATTGTATTCTGTGTGTATTATGCTCTTGGGGTTATGTCACACAGTGACCCTAGAATGAGAACTGAGAAGAAGTTGTGACTGAGAGTTCTCTAGCAACCTTTGAAGATATAGAGCTAGTAGGTGGTAAGGAATTATGGCTATGGGGTGTATTTAACCCATTGGGCAAATAGTTGCCTCAGTGTGTTTAAGTTTAAGTAGAGGCGCCTGGGTGGCTCAGTCGGTTAAGCATCTGACTTCAGCTCAGGTCATGATCCCAGGGTCCTGAGTCTCAGGGTCCTGGGATCCAGCCCTGCATCAGGCTCCATGCTCCGCAGGAGTCTGCTTGTCCATCTCACTTTCCCTCTGTCCCTCCTCCAGCTCGTGCTGTCTCTGTCTCTCTCTCTCAAATAAATAAAATCTTAAAAAAAAAGACTCAACAGTAGACAGTTTGCTAGAAAACCTGCAAGAAACAAATGTTTTTGGAGTAGCATTGAGAATTTAGCATAAATTAATAGTATCTGAGGTCAACAACTACTTTTTGGCTATTGTGAAGATCAACTGTTATAAAATTTCAATAGTAACTTTATTTTTAAAATGGCATGAATTATAAAATGATATCCATAAATACAAATTAGTGGTATTGGAAGGGAAAAAGGAATATATTTAAAAAGTATAGGAATTGGGGTTTTGCTGCTTATCACTCATGATTGTGTTTGAATCTTTTTTTCAGCTGACTCTATTAGTGACCCATTTTTCCCCCGAACTACCCAGATACTGTTGGAATATCAACTAGGGAGATGGGTGCCACGTCTTCGTGAACCACGAGATTTATATGGTGTCTCTTCTTCTGGTCCACTGAGCCCTACACGGTGGCCGTACCACTGTGAGGTCATTGATGAAAAGGTCCAGCATATTGGTATGTTCTTAGCAGTTTTTGGAATTCAAATATTAGCAAACTAACTTTGCCAACCTTAATTTTAATGAGGAGACTCGTGGTGTTAGAATATTGCATTCCAGCAGGAATAAAGCATGAGCTATATGTATCATTTAAAATTTTCTAGTGGCCACATTTGAAAAAGGAAAAAGAAACAAGTGAAATTGATTTCAAAAATATATTTTATTTAACCCAAATTTATCCAAAGTATTTTGCATTCTTTTTTTTTTCATATGAAATCTGGTGTGCATTTACACTTGCATTTTAGCTCAGATCAGCCACATTTCAAGTGTTCAGAAGCCACATGTGCTTAAAAGGGGGACGTAAAACATGTGCCAGAATTTTGTAATTCTGAGCAATTTGAAATAGCATGACTATTCCAGTCACATTCAAACTCATACATAAAGTGAGGTCATGGACAGAGGGTATGCCAGATGGTTCTGCAGTCTTGCTCCTTTTTTCTCCATATCTCTTGCTCCCCGCACCCCCCGAATATCTTTTTTCTCCTCTGTGTATCTTTATCCTCTTTCTTTCTTTCTCCCTTTTTTTCCACTTCTCTTCCGCTCTTATTTTTTTTTTTATCTTTGTGCCCCTTTGTCTTTTTTTCTCTCCTTCCCTCTTTCTGCTTCTTTCCCTTAATGTATGTTTTATGGACCCAAAGAGGACATATTTTAGTGAATATTTTTATGTTTCTGTATATGCAGTCCCAAATTTTGTTTTCATTCAGTGTTTTGCAGCCTTATCTTCCCAGTCCTCACACCTGAATAATAGAAACATTTCCATTATTCATTACCTCCTCACTACCACTGTTTTTCACCTTGGGTTGATGATAGCATATACATTATTGCCAGGTAGAGATCTTATTAGACATTCACTGGTGAATAAAATTAAAAACTGGCTATAGTTACTGTAACTGTCTATACTTACTGTATTGCTTACTTAAATTAGATGCTACTTAGGCATTCTTACAAACTAAGTTTTCTCTTTATATTATCTAGTATATAGAGAAAGAGGGGAAGGGAGAAGTGCGTGTCTCCCTCTTTCCCCCTCTCCTTTCTCTCTCTCTCTCTATATATATGTATGTGTATACACACACACACACACACACACACACATATGCTTCAGAAAACTTTAAGTCAAAAGTTCTCAGCTGGGTGTTTAGGCCCCCCTGGTCTTATGGTCAAGTCAGGCTGTCTGATTCTGCCAAATGAAAACCAGTAAACAAACTGCCCATGATGGGTATCAGGGGAGTTTCAGACTTTAAATAGCACATTATAAATCTTACTGTCCTTACCTTGGCCAACTGTCAAAGCTAGATATCCAGACTTTCCCAGCTATAAAAATAGAGCTTTTCCAGTCAGCTATAAATGAACACTATCCTACACAACCATATACCTTGAAAGTCTTTCCATATAAGCTCATATATACCAATCTCTTTTTTAAATAAATTGGTTCATTAGATTTAATTCAGTGAATACAATACTTTCTTTAACTGCTGCCCTATCATTGAGTTTTAGATGTTTCCAGTCTTTGGCTCTGACAAACAGAACTTCATGAACATTCTTTTATATATGTCCTTCTGTGTGTGTGTGTGTGTGTGTGTGTGTGTGTGTCTAGTTGTAGAGTAAATTCCTGGAGTTTCTAGTTAAAAGGATACTGCCAAATTGCCCTTCAAAAGGAGCTGTAACAATGTATAGTCATAAGTTTGTATGAGTGTGGTTGGTGGTCTTCAAGATTACCCTCAGGTTGAATGATTATAGAAGGACTCCTAGAACTCAAAAAAAATTTACAAAAGCTGCTATACTCATGGTTATGGTTTATTACATTGAAATGATACAGATTAAAATCAGCAAAGGTTAAAAAAAAATCAGCAAAGGTAAAAGGAACATAGAATAGAGTCCAGGAGAGATCAGACACAAGCTTCCAGTTGTCCCCTCCCAGTGTAGTCTTATGGACAGTGTTTAATACTCCCAGCCATGATGTGAGATAATACACATGAAGTATTGCCAGTCAGGAAAGCTCATCCAAGCTTTGGGGTCTATGGTTTCTTCTAGGGGCTGGTCATATCTCCATGGAGTACTCATGTGGCTGACCTTAGTTACTCAGTCTCTAGCCTTTCCTGTTAAAATTGATAGCATGTGGTGTAAGTCCCTCTACCATAAGTCACATTGCTGGCATAATTATCTGGTATGACCCAAAGCCCGAAGTAGACAGACAGACAGACTCTCATCAAGCAGGATATTCCAAAGTCTGAGAAGTTATCTTCTAGGAGTTTAACAAGGGTGAAAGCTTTCTTGTGTATACAGAGTTTGGACAACCCAGGCCTGCTGAGTTAATCCTTTACTACACAGTGAGAGGGCCTATTTTCCCATACACTCATAAACACTGTTTAGTTACTTGTCTGATTTTCAACAGTCTGATATCATTTGTTTTATATGTTGCATTTCAATTTATATATTCTTTATTTATGAGTGACTTTGAACATCTTTATGTATATATATATTGACTGTTTTAGTTTTTATATTTATTTTATTATGGTAAGAGTACTTAACATGAGGTCTACCCTCAGCAGATTTTTAAGTGTGCAATACAGTATTGTTAACTAGAGGCACAAAGTTGTTACAGAGCTTATTCGTCGCATTATTGAAGCTTTAAATGTGTTGATTAGTAGCTCCCCATTTTCCCCTCCCGCTTGCTCCTAGCAACCACTGTTCCACTTTCTGATTCTATGAGTTTGACTATTTTAGATACTTTATATAAGTGGAATCATGTAGTATTTGTCCTTCTGTGACTGACTTATTTCATTCAGCATAATGTCCTCAGGGTTCATCCATGTTGTTGCATATTGCAGGATTTCCTTTTTTAAAACTGAATAATATTTCTCTCCCTCTCTCCCTCCTTCCCTCCCTCTCCCCCTCCTTCCCTCCCTCTCCCTGTGTGTGTGTAGCACATTCTCTTTGTATCATTTATCCATCAGTGGACATTCAGATTGTTTCCACATCTTAGCTATTGTGAATAGTACTGCAATGAATGTGGGAGTGCTAATATCTAATATATCTTCAAGATCCTCATTTAAGTTCTTTTGGGTAAATACCCAGTGGTTGGACGGCTGGATAATGTGGTAGTTCTATTTTTAACTTTTTGAGGAACTTCTACACTGCTTTCCATGGTGGTTGTACTATTTTTTATTCCCACCAACAGTGTACAGGGGTTCCAGTTTCTCCACTTCCTTGCCAACACTTGTCTTTTGTTTTTTGGATAATGACCATCATAATAGGTGTGAAATGATACCTCCCTGTGGCTTTGATTTTCATTTCCCTGAAGCTCAGTGGTGTTAACAATGCAATCCCTATCAAAATCCCAGTGGCGTTTTCAGAGAAATAAAAAACAACTCTAAAAGTCAGATGGAACACAAAAGGCCACAGATAGCCAAATTAATCTTCAGAAAGAAGAACAAAGCTGGAGACATCACACTTTTTGATTTCAAAATGTACTACAAGAAGCAAGCTAGCCAGTTGTTTAAAAAGTTGTTAAATTATTTCCTGTAAACTGATTGGAAATGCCACAATTATTAATGCTAAACTTCTAGGTCTAATTTTGAATTTTACTCTAATCCATTAACTTGTCTATTCATATGATGGCATGAATTTTAAAGCTTAAAGCTTTAAAATAAATTGTTATGTGATAAACTTGGTTCACACCATTACTTTATTCTTTTTAAAAATTTTCCATTTTCTAGGCTACTTTTGCCAAGACCTTTCTCTAAAGATAAACATGGCCAATAAACACATGAAAAGATATTCAGCATCTTTAGTCATCTGGGAAATGCAAATAAATACCACATTGAAATACCACTTTATACCCACTGGAATAACTAGAATCAAAATCTGATAACATGTGTTGATGAGAAATTAAACATATGCCCCCCAAAAAGCTTATATGTAAGTGTTAATATAGTACCATTATTCTAATAGCCAAAAGGAAACAATCCAAATATCCATCAGTGGATGAGTACTGTTTCATGGAAATCAGAGGAGACTACATTTTACATTTTAACTTCAGCTCAGCAGTAAGCAATGATGACCGTGTGGAGCATAACCTGCTGATGGCTGATTCTATACATTGGTTGACAGCTTTGCATTGTCAACTAAAATTGAAGCCATGTATGTCCTAAAATTTAGAATTCCTACCTCAGGATCTATAACCAAGAGAAATGTGGGCACATGTGTTCCAAGGAACATGTATAAAGCTTATCATAGAACCATTGTTCATGATGGCCTTAACCTGAAACAACCTGAATGCCCATTATAAATAGAAGTGGATAAATAGATTGTAGCATTTTTATGTAATAAATTCTATAGCAATAAAAATGAATTACAGCAACACGCCACAAGATGGATTGATTTCACAAATATGTGAAAAAAGAAGACTATTATGTAATTCAACTTATGTAAGTACAAAAATAGGCAAAACAAAGCTATAGTTTCATATCAATACTTACGTAGATATATTTATGCACATATATGTATGAATACTCAGATTATGAAGTTATAAAGGCAGATGAAGAAGCGATTGTGTTATGGTAAGGTTAATGGTTATAGTTCAAGGGGAAGGAGGAACGAGTGATCAGAAGGGGGTATGAGTGGGGCCTCTGAGGGGCTGGCAATGTAATAGATCTTGATCTAAATGCTATATGCTTTGTAATAAAGCTCAGAACTATACTTCTTTGGTTTTGTACTTCTCATAAGTATAATTCCTCATAAACATTTTGTTTAAACATTTTGTTTATTTCTGACCATGTGAGTTATGGGTAGAATGAGCACAAATAATTGGCAAAACAGTGTTTCAGAGTAGAATCTGGAAATAGACTAGCACATTTAAGACCAAATTATTTTTAATAAAGTCACCAGAGCAATCCGGTGGGGATAAGTCTTTTTAATGATTGGTGCTGTAACAACCTAGTGTCCATGTAGAGAAAAAATAAACTTGACCTCTACCCTCTCAGCACACACAAAATTAATTCAAGATAGATCACAGGACTAAACATAAAAATTAATTCATAATGCTCCTTGAAGAAAACATAGTACAATATCTTCATAATCATAGGATAGATAAAAACAGTTCTAGAGAGGACCCAGAAAGAAAAAAGAAACAATGAAAATAAGTTTGACTTCATCAAAATTTTAAATTTCTCACCAAAAGATACAATTAACAAAATGAAAAGGCAAGCCACAGTCTAATATTCCCAGCACATATCTGACAAAGAATTTGTATGCAAACTATAGGAAGAATTCCTACAAACCAATAATAAAAACTAATTAAAAATGGGCAAAAGAGTTGAACAGACATTGCTCAAAGGAAGACATGTAATGGCTAATAAATGTGCAAAAGTGTTAAACATGGGAAAGGAAAATGAAAATCACAGTGAGATACCACTTTACACTAGAATGGCAAAATTTAAAAAAATTTTAGAATGTAGAACAACTGGAACTCTTATTCTATTAGCTTGCTTTTTACTTATTTTTTTTATGTCACCACACAGAGTGTCATTAGTTTTTGATGTAGTGTTCCATGATTCATTGTTTGCATATAACACCCAGTGCTCCATGCAGAACATGCCCTCCTTAGTACCCATCACTGGGCTAACCCATTCTCCCCCCTCAAAAATACCCCTCTGTTTGTTTCTCAGAGTCCACAACTGGAACTCTTAATGCATTGTTGGTATGAGTGTAAAATTGTACAACCACTCTGAGAAAAGGTTCAGCAATTTTTCTCTTTAATAAAAGAAAATATACATCTATGTATTTGTTAGAACTCGTTGAACATACAATTCAGATCTGTACATTGCATTATATATAATAAGTAAATTTTACTAAATTTAAAAAATAGCCACAATCCTTCATCCATGTATCTTCACCCTTTGTAATGTCATCTTCCATTCCCTTCTATCAAGAGGTGTCCTCTTTTCCCCACCCCTGGAAATAGGATGGCCTGTGACTTGCTTTAGCAAAACCAAGTGTGGCATAAGCAATAGCATGTCAGTGTTGACCTAGGTCTCAAAAGTCTTTGCGTACTTCTGCTTTCTCTTAAACCCTGTCCAGCCACCACAGAACAATCCATAGCTAGCTTATTGGATAGTTAAGCCCTGCATAAAACACTAAATTTTAGCCTAGATATACCAATGAATGACTTGAAAATATACAATAAAAATTTCACGTTTTATTTTGAAGTAGTATTCAAATAAAGTTTTCTCTTTTTTCTTTCCAGATTGGACTCCTTCTTATCCTGAGCCATTGTACACCCCAACAGGCCTAGAGATGGAACCCCTTTATCCAAACTCCAAGGAAGATACTGTAGTTTATCTAGCTGAAGATGGTGAGTACATAATGAGACACATTGCTATAAAATATAATTTGGTACCTAGATTCATCCCTTAATTACATTTGTTTTGCTGTTTATAATGGAAACTGCACATTACCAGGAAGTCCCTGTCTCCATCAAGATGTTTGGTTACAGACTGATTCAAATGTGTATTTAGTGCTAATTATATTCTTGAAGGTGTACTGCAGTTTATACAAAGTTACTTTAAAATAAAATGTATTGCCCACTACAATGGAGAGTTATATTTAGAAGGAATTATGCTTCACATCAGTTTTCAAAGATAAATCCAGTGGAGTGTTGTACGACTATTATTGCCTTTCTATTCATAGGTCACATTCATGAAATCTTTCAGATGATTTTCTTTTTATTTCATGCCAGTTTGATACTTTCTTGAGATTGCATCTTTCAAAGGGGGAAATACCCCACACTGTAAGTAACATCTAAGATGGTATCTCAGGAAAGTGTTCTTAACAGGCAGGATCAATATTTGTACTTTGAGAACTCTAGTAATGCAAAATCTCTTATCTGCTTTATGATAGAATGCAAATAATCAAACATAGATGTCTCAGCCTATATCCTCAACTGCGTTGCTCCTAAAGCACCATTGTAAGGAAGTATGGGACTCCTGCACAATTAAAGGGCTGGCAAAACAAAAATTTACAAGGATTGTTTCCTATACAGCAAACAATTGTAGAAATCATATACTCACATATTTTTAACAACAAAGGTAAAGACAAGCATCTCTGATTTTTTTAAATTTAATTTCAAATATTTGCACGGCTAACCTGCCTTAGAGTTCCACACACAACTTAAATAAGATCTGATAAAATATTAAAATAGTTAAGGTGAGTCAGTCAGGGTCTTGTCAGGAACTGGATGGCATACTTGGAGTAATTTAAGAAAGTTTAATGAAAGTATCACTTACCAAAGTGTGGATAGAATTAAGGGAGACTAACAAGGGGTGGTAAAGCAACCTAGGACTGTCAACAGAGCAAAATCATTGTTTCTTCTAGTCCTGAAAGAGTAAGAAGACAAAATGGTTTCCAGATCTGTAGCTGTAGGAGAGGGAAGTCCCTAAATAACTGGGGGGAAAGAATTCTGGGGTCATATTTTTTTCTTCTAAAGATTTTTTTTTAAAGATTTACTTATTTATTTTAGAAAGAAAGAGAGTGTGTATGCACAAGTTGGGGGAGGGGTGGACGGACAGAGAGAGGGGAAGCAGACTGCCTGCTGAGAGGGGGGCCCAACGCAGGGCTCAACCTCAGGACCCTGAGACCATGACCCGAGCCGAAACCAAGAGTCAGACACTTAACTGACTGAGCCACACAGGGGCCCCTCAAGACTTTTTTCTTTAAAGATGTTGTGCCATTGTCTTGTGACATCTATTGTCTTTAATAAAAAGACAACCGTAATTTTTATCATTGTTCCCTATATGTGTGATGTGTCTTTTTCTCTCTGGATGTTTTTAGCAATTTGACTATGATCTGCCTAGATTTGGGTACCTTTATATTTATCCTGCTTGATGTTTGCTAACTTCTTGGGTCCATAGGTTAATAGAGTTGGGTTTTTTTCCCCCAAATTTGAGAACTTTTCAGCCATATTATTTCTATATTATTTTCAGCCACATATTTTTTCTATATTATTCATTCTCTTCTGTCCTTTGGAATTCCAATTACACATATGCTGGATTTCTAGCTATGTTCCACATGTCAGTGGATCTTTGTTTTTTTTCCTTCTCCTTGAGTTTGGATTAATTGTATTTATTTGTTTTTAAGTTCACTGAGTCTTTCTTTTGCAATATTCAATTTTTCTTAAACCCATCTAATCTTTAATTTCAATTATTGTATTTTTTATTTCTAGAATTTTTCTTTTTTTTAAATAACAACAACTAAAATTTATTCAGTGCTTACTATGTGTCAGGCATGGATCTAAACACTGAAACACTTTACATATTATCTTTTAGTCCTTTAAAGATGTCATCCCATTGGCCTCTGACCTCTGTTGTTCCTAATGAGAAGTCATTAGTAATTCCTATCATGGTTCTCCTGTTTGTGATGTGTTTGCTTTCTCTGGCTGCTTTTATTCATTATCTTTATCTTTCTTTTTTTTTTATTCTATATATTTTATTTTTTAAATTTATTTTTAATTTAAATTCAGTTAATTCACATATAATTGTTACTGGCTTCAAAGGTAGAGGTCAGTATTTATCAGTCTGATATACTACCCAGTGCTCATTATATCACGTGCCCTCCTTAATGTCTATCACCTTGTTACCCCATCCCCACAACCTCCTCCACTCCAGCAACCCTCGGTTTGTTTCCTATTATTGACAGTCTCTTATGGTTTGTCTCCCTCTCTGGTTTCATCTTGTTTCATTCTTTCCTCTCTTCCCCTATGAGCCTTTGTTTTGTTTCTTAAATTCTGTATATTAGTGAGATCATATGATAATTGTCTTTCTCTAATTGACTTATTTCACTTAGCATAATCCCCTCTAGTTCCATCAATGTCATTGAAAATGGCAAGATTTCATTTTTTTGATGACTGAGTACTATTCCATTATATATATATATATATACCACATCTTCTTTATCCATTCATCTGTCGATGGACATTTGGGCTTTTTCCATAATTTGGCTGTTGTAGACATTGCTGCTATAAACATTGGGCTGTAGGTGCCCCATCGGATCACTACATTTGTGTCTTTGGGGTAAATACTAGTAGTGCAATTGCTGGGTCATAGAGTAGCTCCATTTTCAACTTTTTGAGGAACCTCCATACTGTTTTCCAAAGTGGCTGCGCCAGCTTGCATTCCCACCAACAGTGTAAGAGGGTTCCCCTTTCTCTGCATCCTCGCCAATATCTGTTGTATTTCTAGAATTTTCATTTGGTTCTTTTTTGTAGTTTGGGGGTTTTTTGAGATTACTTTATCTGCTTATTCATTATCTATCTTTTCCCTTAAGTCTTTAAATACATATATTCAATTCAATTCTGTGTGTGTGTGTGTTTAAAGTCCTCTGTTAATCCCAACATCTGGGTTATCTTGGGGTTTGTTGAATGTGTGTGTGTGTGTGTGTGTGTGTGAGACCATGGATCACATTTTTCCTGATTTTCTTCATGCTTCATAATTTTTTCCTAATATGCAGGACATTGTAAAAGATATGTCGTAGGAGTCTGTATTACGTTCTTTTCAAAAATTATGCTGAATTTTGTTCTGGTAGGCAGTTAAATTGCTGGCAGATCACTTTGCTTCTTTCAGCTTTGGTTTTATTTTTTTATTTTATTTATTTATTAGAGAGAACACAAACAGGGGGAGCAGCAGAGGGAGAGGGAGAAGCAGCCCCCCACGAGTGGGAAGCCTGATCTGGAGGTCAATCCCAGGGCCCTGAGATCATGACCTGAGCCAAAGGCAGATGCTTAACCAACTGAGCCACCCAGGCACCCTGGTTTTATATATTTTTTTAATAAGGGCAGATCTGTTTTCATTTTGTCTTAGTCATTTAGTCCTAGGTCATCGTCTTTGCCCTTGGATGTGGTACTTACACCTAAAATGCAGCCTTTCTGGAGTCATGATTGAATGCCTGAGATACTCAAAGAAGTCTTTCCATTCTGGATAGTTTAGAATTACAATATATTCTAGAATGGCATATCTGATATCTCAGCCCCACAGTTAATACTCTCTTATCTTACTGAGTCTTATTCTGTACTTCTGTAGCCAAACCTTCAGCCCTATGTAGCTTTCTTCTCTCTGGTGTCCTGCCTCATAATTTCAGCAGCCACAAGCAACAGTCTGGCCTCCTCAGCTCAGTAAGACTGCCCTACTACTATTCTTAAGTGCCACCTTCTTAAGATGTAGTCAGACAGTATTGCCAGGAGGAAAGCCAAGGTTAGACATGGACTTACTTCATGATTTTTTTTTTTTCAAACATTCTGTATAGTCCTAGTCTATATGTTATCCAGATGTGTGAAAACAGCTCATTTTCTTTGGTCCAGCTTTATAGTTACTTATAGTGAAAGGGCAAATTCAGGACCAATTACTCCATAATAATCAGAAGCAGAATAAATATTTTTAATGTGAGAAATACATGAATTTATTTTGGGCATTGCTTTTCTAGTCTGAACACTCTTAGACTTTCTATTTCAACAAATCTGTGTGTCACATTACTTAAAAATTTAAAATCCTTAGTGACACTTCAGTTATACTGTGGCTCCACACTTTATGCAGGATAATCCGTGTACTCTGGACATGGTTTGATAGTATGGTCTTCTTCTGTCATCAGCTTACAAGGAGCCCTGTTTTGTGTATTCCCGAGTAGGGGGCAACCGAACACCTCTGAAGCAACCTGTGGATAACTATGACAATACTTTGACGTTCGAAGCAAGGTTTGAGAGTGGAAATCTACAGAAGGTAGTCAAAGTGTAGGTTTTAATTATTTTTATTTGAGGAGCTAGACCTTCAGCTATTTATTATTTTTGGTATTGGGTACATTGAAGTTTTAGTATTTGTAAATGAACTGCAATTCCTTGAGGTATGATGCCAATTAGAGATGATTATGAAGGGGGTATGAAAGGTTCACATTCTGGATTCAAATACTCTGAACTTAAGTCAAACAGGTTTCTGTACTGTACATTTTTTTTTAAGATTTTATCTATTTATTTGACAGAGAGAGACATAGCGAGAGAGGAAACACAAGCAGGGGGAGTGGGAGAGGGAGAAGCAGGCTTCCTACTGAGCAGGGAGCCCGATGCGGGGCTCGATCCCAGGACCCCGGAATCATGACCTGAGCCGAAGGCAGTCGCTTAACGACTGAGCCACCCAGGCGCCCCGGTACTGTGCATTTTTAATATGCCAATATGAATTGTCATAGAGACGCACACTGCTTCTCAAACTTTTTAATGGAATAATACTTGGGATGAATGTTCTGTAAAACATGTTTGGGAACATGCATGCTATCCAAGGGCATTCTTTAAAAAATTTTTACTATAAAAAAATTCAAGTATGGAGAATAATACAGTTCTCCATTAACCATCACATACCCATCACCTAGATGCAACAGCTATGGTTTTGCATTATTCGTTTCACCTATTCATAGGCCACTTTTGTTAACACACACATACACACAAAGGAAGTACATAGTGCTGATGGAATAGAAGGTTACTTGGTAAAGAAAAAGTCACAATTAACCCAGTAAGATTGTGTGTGTATATGTGTATAAAACAAACGTACCAATAAAATTATTTTGGGGTGCCTGGGTGGCTCAGTTGGTTAAGCCTTCAGCTCAGGTCATGATCCCAGGGTCCTGGGATCGAGTCCCGCATCGGGCTCCCTGCTCTGCGGGGAGCCTGCTTCTCCCTCTCCCACTCCCCCTGCTTGTGTTCCCTCTCTCGCTGTGTCTCTCTCTGTCAAATAAATAAATAAAATCTTAAAAAAAATAAATAAAATTATTTTTACCTTTAAGTATCCTCAGTGACTAAGTATGGGGAATGCAAATAGTTCTCAAATACAGTCCTCAAAGAGTTTCAAATTTTTCCATGTATGTGGTTTTATTAATTTATATGTTTTAAACCTTTCTAAGTGATAGTATTTCAGATCCCTAGAGTTTGAATCTAACAGAAAGCAGGAATATATATCTGAAGTAAAAAAAGGAACATCGGACTTGATTTCAGTTTTAGGAGCTCTTTAATCATTTCTTCTATAGGAAACATAATTGGGTTGAAATATAGAATTTTTTATCAAATGCCCATTTTAATGTGCTCTCTTGAATTACAAAAAAATAAAAAGGCTTTAGAGAATTAGCATAGAAGCAGTTTCAGATCCAATAAAAGAGAAAGTTTCAAAACTTTGATCTTTTACAATTGCTTGCTATTGGATGCTGCCTAAATAAACAGCTTCAGGAAAAAAGGCTTTCTGTGAATAGGTAAAAGTAAAATAATTTTCCTTATTTAATTTGAACTTGAATGTCATTTTTACATTTTATGTGTTTTTCTTTCCTTCTGTGTATTAGGGCAGAATATGAATACCAGTTGACCGTGCGCCCTGACCTCTTCACAAATAAACACACCCAGTGGTACTATTTCCAAGTCACTAATACCCAAGCAGGAATAGTCTACAGATTCACTATAATCAATTTCACTAAGCCTGCTAGTCTTTACAATCGGGGTATGCGCCCACTCTTTTATTCTGAAAAAGAAGCCAAGGCTCATAATATTGGCTGGCAGAGAATAGGAGATCAAATCAAGTATTACAGAAACAACCAGGGACAAGAGGGGCGCCATTATTTCTCTCTTACATGGACATTTCAATTTCCACACAACAAAGATACCTGCTACTTTGCTCACTGCTATCCATATACTTACACCAACCTGCAAGAATATCTTTCTACTATCAATCATGACTCAGTACGGTCAAAGTTTTGTAAAATACGTGTCTTGTGCCACACGATTGCTAGGAACATGGTGTATGTTTTAACAATCACTACTCCCTTCAAGAGCACTGACTCAAGAAAACGAAAGGCTGTGATTTTGACTGCAAGGGTACATCCAGGAGAAACCAACAGCTCTTGGATCATGAAAGGCTTCCTAGATTATATTTTAGGAGACTCAAGTGATGCGCAGTTGCTTCGGGACACTTTCATCTTCAAGGTGGTACCCATGCTGAATCCAGATGGTGTGATTGTGGGAAATTATCGTTGTTCCTTAGCTGGACGAGATTTAAACCGTAATTATACATCTCTCCTGAAGGAATCATTTCCTTCTGTTTGGTATACCCGGAACATGATCCGTAGGTAAAATAAGCCTCAAATTACCTCTCTGCTTATTTAGTAAACTTGGTAGTGAGATTTTTGCTCCCACCATCCCATTCGTTTTACTCTAGCTTTTAAGATAGCTTAACTGATAGTTTAACTATAGCTACTTAATTTTTTCCCCATTTTTTCCACTCTTCTTTCTGGCATTATGCCACTGGATTCACTAGCCTTTTCTTAAATAATGAATAAATTTCTAGAACATTTTAATGGCTTTGTGAAACTAATAGTTAAATTTGCTTATCCCAAATCTGGTTTCTTGCTAAAGCTAAAGGTAACACTGATGTTTAGTTTGGGATGCTTGAATCTCTTATATGTGAAAATTCTATCTCACAGGGCCTCCTGGCACTATGTTAATCATACATTGCTCTATGATGAGCCTTTTTTTATTCAGTTTTTAATTTTAATTCCAGTATGGTTAACATATAATGTTATATTAGTTTCAGGTGTACAATATAGGGATTCAACAATTCCGTACATTACTCAGTGCTCATCATGATAAGTGTACTCTTTATTATGATAAGTCTTTTGACTATCAGGATACATAGTTATTAAAATATTAAAATAAAACTTTGATGAATTATAGTCTTATTTCCCCCCTGAAAAAAATTGAAAAGCTTTAAATTTTCCAAAGAATCCAGGTCAGTAAATGCACATAATATTTAAATGTTTGTTGAATGGGTGAATTCTTTAATAGATTCAGGTGACAACAATCAGAAATTGGCATGTGCTTGAGCAAAAAAATTTAGAGTCACAGAACCCCATTCCAAGTCCAAAGCCCCTTAACCTTTTTGGCTAAGAGTGTGGAGTGGAGTTAAAATATCAGATTGGAATCCTGCTATATCATTTACTAACTGTGTGACCTTGAGCAATTTAAAAACAAATCTAAACCTCAGTTTTCTCATCTATAAAATGGTAATAATAATACTAAACTCATAGGCAGGAGGATTAAATGAGAATATTATTAATAAAGTGTCCAGAATAAAATATGGGCATTGAAAGCTCTAAATGTATTCAGTATTAGCTCAGATATAAAAAGAAAAAAAAAGTTGTTGATGAATCAGATATAGATGTAAAAACTCTTTGTAAACTCTTTAGGATTATTCAAATATTTATAACAATAAGTACTGTTGTAGAGAGTGTCTATGTCCTGATCCCACTTTGTTACCAGGGCCCCTAGTGCAAGTACAAGGACCCTGTTTCAGGGCTGAGGCCCTCAAGGATACCTCCAGCCCCTCGGAGGAGCTGACAGGCTTCAGAAGCACCAAGACACATGGCCCCGACCATCTCAGTTCAGTCTCCACTTTCACTTCCACGTTAATTCTTTTATCTGCTTAGGCACAGAGGGAGTGAAGTGCAAATCCCCTCAAAAAGGACTGAAAATTCTTTGTTTTCATACCCTTCAAAGATGTGGACTCCAGGATTCCCTGTAGTTACCTGAGAAATGTTAAGTGATAAAAGATTTTTAAAAAACCATGACTTCCTTATTTTTCTGGGGATGGCAAACAAGCAAAAGAGAGTGAAGTGCAATGTGGTATCCTGGATTGGATTCTGGGACAGAAAAGACATTAGTGGCAAAACAAGTGAAATCCAAATAAGGTTGGGAGTTTAGTTACTAGTGGTGTACCAATGTTGGTTTCTTCATTTTTGACACTGTACCGTGGTTATGTAAGATGTTCACATTAGGGGAAACTGGGTGAGGGGTCTATGGAAGCATTCTATTTTTGCAAATTTTGTGTAAACTAAAATTATTCCAAAATGTAAAATATATATATATATAAGAAAGGAAGCTGATTAGAATATAATATCTACTTAGTGCTCTTTGACTTTAAGGGTCCCTGCTCCAACACAAGATGGATTATAGGCCAAGGCCCTTTGGCTTGTCTCTACGGAAAATACTTTAAATGTCTCCATTCTTCTCAGATTGCCTTGTAAGAAGGTTAAGGCAGGAATCCAATCAGTTAGTTTCAGAAAGACTTCCAAGAGAGAAAACTACCTTAATGCAATTAATCATAGTTAGGTAAGTAGAATAAGAAGTCACATATGTGTGGGAAGGCAAGCAGCTGTAAGTATATCTAAGATTTAGCATATTTAAAGAATATGAGAATAAGAAAGAGTAGATTTTAGCATAGGATGCTTAGTATAAGATACGTAGAATATCTTAGCCTGTGGGTAAGAAAAAAGACCCAAGCCATTTCTCAAGTGATTTAAATTCATGTAAAATTAGACCCTTTGGAAGTAATGAGATATCTTTGGGAATTACTGAGTTTATTTTGATTTACCTGTAAGAAACTGAAAGATCATTAAAACTGGGGAAATGTTGGCCAAAAAATGTTCAGCATATTTCATATTTAAAGCCCTAACTTGATAATCTTGCTTTATAATCCACTTAGTTTTCTAAAAACTTGTAATGATCATTTAGTGGCTTTATGGCAGTCTTATATTATCAATTAGAATTTATTGGGCACCAAATGAGAAAAGGGCAATCAATTAATACATGTAACAGACCTCACTGTGGGATTTCTCTATAGTTTAAAGAAGTAGTATTAGTGCTTTACAGTCTAGTTTAAAGAAGTATTATTCCTAATAGAAGCTATGCTTTGAATATTTTGATTTTAGGTTTTAATATTTTTGTTATAAAAGTAATACATATCATATTACTAAAAATATCATTGCTAACATTTTGGTATTTATCCTTCCAGGTATAACAAATAGTGTATGTGATATTGGTTATTTAAGTAATATAATGCATGAAGTTTAGAAATATGAAAAAAAGCAAAAAATGCCTGTCATCTTACCACTTTAATACCACTTTTTTTTTTTTTTACCTTTTTAAAGCCTCTCCATTAGTTATTTTCATCAATCAGTTTGGGGGGGCTTATTTTTTTTTTTAAAGATATTATTTATTTATTTGACACAGACAAAGCAAGAGAAGGAACACAAGCAGGGGGAGTGGGAGAGGGAGAGGCAGGCTTCCCATGGAGCAGGGAGCCCGATGCGGGGCTCGATCCCAGGACCCTGGGATCATGACCTGAGCCGAAGGCAGACGCTTAACGACTGAGCCACCCAGGCGCCCCGGGGCTTTTTTTTTTTTTAAGATTTTATTTATTTATTTGTCAGAACGGCAAGCAGAGGGAGAAGCAGTCTCCCCGCTGAGCAATGAGCCCAATGTGGGACTCGATCCTAGGATGCTGGGATCGTGACCTGAGCTGAAGGCAGACGCTTAACTCACTGAGGCACCCAAGCGTCCCTGGCGGCTTATTTTTTATTGCTTAAATATTCACTGAGTGCCTAAGTTATACAAGCTAAGGGTTGTGCTCCTAAGAAATGTGTAATAATTTCCTTATTAGAAATTTACCAGAAAAAAAATTCAAACTTTGGTACAATTTTTCTCAAAATAATATTTACCACTTTAATCAAGGGTTGTATAATAATTGGCTTCAGCACCAGGTTGTCAGGTACTCAATTTTTAACAAATATTTGGGTACTCTCGTGCATAGCACTGTTCTAGCTGATTTGAAGCAGTTCTTACCCTTAACGAGATTAAATATCAAAAATATGAAAACTTTCCAAGGCAAATGTCAAGCAAATGGCACCAATATTATGTGCTATAGGAATTCAAAAAAAAAAATCTGTGGTCTTGACTGGTTAGGAAGTGAGACATGAAGTCAGCCTTGAGGGACAAGGGGCAGTATTTGCACTTACGGAAATGAAGAAAGAAGGTATTCTAGTCAGGAAGAATCTCTGTGAAAGCTAATGGGCAAAGTAGGAGCGAGCTGTTCTCTTTATACGATGGAAAACCAGAATAATAAAGCAGAGGATCCTATTGGAGAGTCTTGTGAGTAAGGTAAATTTTGTCCTTATAATGGAAGGTAAGCATTCGTATTTTACATATAGCTAATAGGAAATTATTGTAGATGTCTTAAAATTGTTAATATGTGGTATGGATAAGAGAAAGAAGTTGAAAGTGAGGATATAAGAAATTCTATTTATTTGGATATTAGACTTGTAAATCCATAGAAAAATGCAGAGGTAAAATTTGGTAACTCGTTTATTAGTAACTTCTTTTTTTTTCTCGGTAGATTGATGGAGAAACGAGAGGTTATTTTATATTGTGACCTTCATGGCCACAGTAGAAAAGAGAACATCTTCATGTATGGTTGTGATGGTAGTGATAGATGTAAAGCATTATACCTACAGCAACGAATCTTCCCACTTATGCTGAGCAAAAATTGTCCAGACAAAGTAAGACCATTTAAGATTTTTAACTTTTCCTTTATTACATGTTGCCCGCGTGAGACTGCAGAATAGATCACCTTATTCAGTAAACTGCTTTTTTATTTAGTTCTTTTGACTGCCTTATTCAGTCGACCACAAAAAAGCAACTACGTGGAATGTTTAGTGACCAGTAATTTGAAATGTGAAGGAAAAAATGCACCTTATCTTACCACCATAGCTAATGATAAAAGACTGTTTTCCTTATAAGGGCAGGAACAAGGCCAGGATAACCACCCTTACCTCTTCAATTCAGCCTTATGCTGGAGGTTCTAAGTGCTGGAAGGCAAGAGAAAGAAAGAAAAGGCAGACACTTTTGGAATAAAGATGACATGATTGTCTTCATAGAAAATCCAAAGCAATGCACCAAAAAACCCTCCTAAAACTAATGAGTTTAGCAATGTCCTATATGACAAGGTCCCCCCTCAGAAATGAACTAGATTTCTGTATCATCACACTGAACAATTGCAAACCAAAACTGAAAACTATTACCATTTACTGTAGCTTCAAAATAAATAATTGTGATTGCAAAGGAATAACACAAGGGAGTTTTTTAGAGGTGATGGAACTGTTCTACATCCTGATGTGGTAGTGGCTACACAAATCTATACATGTGTCAAACTCACAGGATGGAACACAAGTTAATTTTATTGTAAATAAAAAAATAGCAAAAACTTTTTAGAGAGACTGACATTATAACAATCTTTCAGGACAGCTTTCCAATGATTGAGCTTGTAAAAGTAAAGCATCCTTATTTTATTCAAAACATCTACATTAATTTTATTCTTAAACATGTTTAAATTTTTTAAAGTATAAGAGCTTATCCCAACAGAATCAAGAATACATGTTATATATAAAAAGTAAAATTTATTGCCAGTGTTCTCAAATCTGTACTTCTGAGAAATGAAAATATGTCATCCTTAAAATGAGTTATTTCCACTGGTTTGGAAATAAAAGCAGCCCCTGAAGCTTTAGAGAGAATTACTGCATTTGCACTACTTTCTCATTTTCAACGCTACTTCCTAAGAAAGACATTGTACTCAGAAAAACACATTTTCTCATTTTTATTTGCTTCTTTTTAGTTTTCATTCTCAGCTTGCAAGTTTAATGTTCAGAAGAGCAAAGAGGGAACAGGAAGGGTAGTAATGTGGAAAATGGGAATCAGAAACAGTTTTACTATGGAGGCTACTTTTTGTGGATCTACCCTGGGTAAGACCAAGTGTTCTCATTCATGGCTCTCAGAGCTTTAAACCAAAGAAATATTTTTAGTGTGAGATTAATTATGTGGACAATTTGATAGTGGGCACTTCCTTCCCACTTAGATACATGCTGGTGTCCAATCGCTTCTGTATAGAGGATGAACAAACTACCACTCTGTATCTCCATCTCATTATTTCCCTTTGTTTAGAAAACAAAGTGTTAGCATATAGATAGAATACCTAACTGGTTATTTCATGAACTAATCTTTAATTGCTTGTTTTCATTTTGTTTTTAAGGAGTCCTTACAGATGACTTGTGATTTCAAGAAAAAGCAATGCTCATACTTAAAATATCATGATAGAAATGTTTTTGGTGGATTTGCTATTTGCAAGTCAAAGTAGACTGGGTTTGCTGGGGGTTCTTTAAGGGGGTCAATTTATATTTTAATGGAAGCACTCGGTTCCTTTAACTAAAAATAAAAGTGTGCTCTCTAGTTCCATTTAAGAAATCTTGTAGTCACATCTAGTTTACCCTTGGAATACTCCATATTAAGAAAATTGTTACATTTTTAGAAAATTTATTGACTCAAAGGAAAGTGCTAGAAATCCACACGTATAATTTCTGTTTTTTAAAGCACCTTGAAACTGATATAACACTATCTATGATGATGAAAACATTAAAATATTTACCCAAGTTTTTCACTAAGTGATTATGAGTGTGTTTGTAACTGGTAACCAAATATTCCATAATTTCTTATTAAATTTTCTTCTGCCTTACAACATAGACTAATACGTGTTAAGTCAGCTTTGATCCAGCGGTGGAGAGGGAAGGAGGGTAAGCAGTGAGCTGTTAGATGACCTGCCCCAGAGAAGAAAATCCAAAGGACAGCTATAGAATCATATCAGATATTTTGTTTATTTATACTCTGTTTTACAATTTAGGCCTACCTATTAAGGATGAATGATTAACTCATCCTCAATGGTGGATAAACTTCTTGACGTTTTAGGTAATAAACGGGGCACTCATTTCAACACACAAGACTTGGAGTCAGTGGGATACCATTTTTGTGATTCTCTCTTGGATTATTGTGATCCAGACCGAACCAAGGTAAGCAAAGTCCATTTGCTAATGTATTAAATTAAATGTAAATTAAATGTAAAAATCCATTTGGTAATGTATCAAACTCAAGTTTATGAGATAATATAACCTAACTAAGGGCTTATGGCAGGTTTTATTCTTTTAGTATCCTAACAGTGTTTGAGGTTTCTAGTACTTGATGTCCCCTTACCTATTGTTCCAGGTGTCTATAAATATTTAGTTTAATTAGGAAATAGAGTTAATTTGTAATTAATTTATCATTTTCCCCTAGTATTACCAGTGCTTGAAAGAATTAGAAGAAATGGAAAAACATATAAACTTGGAAAAAATCCTTGAGGATTCAGATACTTCTCTGAAAGAAATGACACTGGATCTAGAGTCTAGGTAAGTCAAGATGGTGGATGTAACATAATTTGTGCTGTGTTACTGTGCTCTTTATAGTAACAGGAGGATATAAAATTCTCAGTCTCAACTGAAAATCCCAACTATAGGTGGAGGAAAAGTTTTTCCATGCACTTTACTTTGGCCCAACTTCATTAAGACTTCAGTTATTTATTCAGGTAATATTAATTGAACACCTATTATGTCCTGTACATGAAAGACATACTCAAATTGTTTTTGATGCTGACATTACCCACAGAGAATTGACACATTTATAGAGATGCCACATACATACTCTAAATTAGCGAATAACAAATGCAAAACTTAACGCTAAGGGAATGTTGGAAGAATGAAGGTACTAATTTTGTACGGTTTCCTATAGGAAAGACAGAACAAATGTTTGATTCTTTTCCTTTATTTATAAATTTTCACACCTTGCATTAGTGCCCCTGCAACCTCCAGAGGTGACTAATAAGTTTGTTTGCAGATGGGGAGTATCATTTTGAACTCATGGATTTGTTTCTATTTGATGTGTTCCAATATCAGTCATTGTTCTTCTAATACTCTGAGATGCCTAGAACTATGACATCTACGCTTTGTAATATTTACAAATTTATTTGTAATGTTTACCTTTGTAAACATTCTTCTTATAATTAGAACCATTTTTACCATTCCAATAATAGGATAAAAGCAACAGTTAAAATTTTAAAATGCCACCAAAATATTGTTATTATTATTTTTATACTTACAATATAGATTGTTAATAAATTAAACACTGTAAATGTAAATAAAATATAAATATAATTAAAATAATGTAATAATTATTATATCAAAGTTATTTTTTGTAGTAGCCGAGGCTCCGACAGTTCAGAATCCAATGAGTCTCAGACTTATCTTCTCAAGTTAACTTCTCAGGTATGATTGAGAATCTCTGCCTATGGTATGGATATACTAAATAGGTACTCTTCTTACTGTGACTAACAATCACACAAAAATATGCTTGCACTTATGTAGTTATTATAGCAATAACTGCTGCTTTCTGATTATGTGACATATCTTTAAATCACAGAATTTTCTATCCTTAGGATTTTTAACACACTTACTTTAAAGATCCAGACAGCTTACTTCTCAAAAGCCACACCACTTGTTAATGAGAGTTGGTAGTCTAACATACATCACCTGACTGCAAATTCAATATTCATTTATTCTTTTATTTAACAACTATATATTGAGCTTCAGCTATGTGTTGGCGATAGAGCAGTGAACAAAAAATGAGACAAAAATCCTCTTTCATTACTTATATTCTAGTTGGTGGAAATAAAAAATGAGAAATAAGTAAAATATATGATGTATCTGGTAATGGTAAGTGCCTAAGGAGAAATTAGAATCGGAGAAGTAGGGAGTTCAGGTGGTACTGAACGTTTATGCCCCCACCAAATACATATGTTGAAACCCTAACACTCAATGTGATGGTATTAAGAGGTGACTAAGACAAACTAAGACACTGCTCTCTTAGTACCAAATGTGGGTGCTGCTGTAACAAATACCTAAAAATGTGGGACTCGCTTTGGAATTCGATAATGGGTAGAGGCCGGCAGAGCTTTGAAGTGCATGTTAGAAAATGCTGATGTTGCCACGAAGGAACTTCCAAAGGTGATTCTGGTAGGGGCTCAGAAAGGAAAAAGGGGGAGCAAGTGTCCATCTTCTTAAAGAATACACAAATAATCACATACAGAACATCAGTAAAAATATGAATATTAAAGGTAATTTTCATGAAGTCTCAGAAACAAACATGCTATTGGCTGATGGAGAAAATTTTAATCCTAACTATAAAGAATTTGGCTGAATTGTGTTTGTGTTCTATTGTTTTATGGAAGATAGAACTTGTATTATTTGGGATCCATCACCCCATCCTTCTTTTCTGTTTCTCCCTTTGGGAATGTCTGTCCTATGCCTATCCCACCACTGTATTTTGGAAGCACATAACTTGGAATGGAATGGGATGGAATGAATGCATTTTTCATGAGAGAAGGACTTGAATTTGGAGGGCCCAGGGACAGAATGCTATGCCTGAATATTTCTATCTCCCCCAAATTCATATGTTGAAATGATAATGCCCAATATGATGGAACCAGAAGGTGGGCCCTTTGGGAGGTGATTAGGTCATGAGGCCAGAGCCCTCTGAGGGGGATTCATACCTTAGAGCTCCAGAGAGATCCCTAGCCCCTTCTACAATATAAGGATACAATAAGACATCTGCAGCCCAAAAGAGAGCCCTCACCTGACCATACTACCACAATGATCTCAACCTTTTCCCTGAAGAACTATGAGAAATAAATTTCCATTATTTTCAGCCAACCACTCTGCAGTATTTTGTTATAGCAGCTGAATGGAATAAGACAGATGTATTAGTTTTCTGTTGCTGAGTAACAAATTACCCCAAGCAGCAGCTTAAAACTTTTCAGATACTTATTATCACACCATTTCTGTGAGACAGGGATTCAGGAGTGGCTTTGCTGGATGCTTCTGTCTAAGGTCTCTCAAAAGAGTGCTGTGAAGGCATTGGTCAGGCTATGGTCTCATCTGAAGGCCTGAGGAAGGATCCACTTTTAATCTCACTTACATAATTGTTAACAAAATTCAGTTCTTCAGAGGCTTTTGGGCTAAAGACCTTAGTCCCTTATTGGCTGTTGGCCTTCAATATCCTATCCAAAAAATCGTTGACAAATTCAGTGTTGTCAAGTTTTGTCCTATGTTTTTTTCCTAAGACTTTTATCCTTTTAGGTCTTACATTTAGATCCTTAATATATTTTGAGTTAATTTTTTGTATTTGGTGTTAGGTAAGTGTCCAATTTCATTCCTTTGCAAGTGGATATCCAGTTTTCTGAGCACCATCTGTTGATGTAATAATGTAGAATAAATTATTCTTTGTGTATAAAAATGCAATTGATTTTTTTGTGTTGACTTTGTATCCTACTACATTGCTGATTTATTAGTTCAAACAGGTTTTTTGTGGAACCTTTAAGGTTTTTAAAATACAAGATCATGTCATCTACAGAGATCATTTTCTTATTTTCCCATTTCAGTGACTTTTATTCAGTTTTCATGCTTAGTTGCTCTGGCTAGAACTTTCAGTATTGTGTTGAATAGAAGTGATAAAAACAGACATCCTTGCCTTGTTCCTGATCTTAAAGGAAATGCTTTCAGCCTTCACCAAGAACATAATGTTAGCTGTTGATTTTTCGTACATGACTTTTCTTGTGTTGTAGTTTCCTTGTATGCCTTGTTTGTTGGGATTTTTTAATGGTGAAAGGGTGTTGAATTTTGTAAAATGCCTTTTCTGCATCAATTGAGATGATCATGTGGCGTTTTTTCCTTCATTCTGTTGATGTGGTGTTTTACATTGATCAACTTGGTATGTTGAGCCATCCTTGCATTCCAGGAATAAATCCTCTTTGGTCATTGTGTACAGTCCTTTTAATATGCTACTGAATTTAATTTGCTAGTATTTTGTTGAGGATTTTTTTGCATTATTTTTTGGTAGTGTCTCTCTGGCTTTAGTAGTAGAATAATGCTGGCCTCATAGAATTAGAACAGGTTCCCTCCTCTTCGGTTTTTTTTAAAAAGTTTGAGGACTGGTATTAGTTCTTTAAGTGTTTGGTAGAATTCTCCCAGAAAGCCATCAGGTCTAGGGTTTGTTGTTGGGAGGTTTTTGATTTACTGATTCAGTCTCCTTACTAGTTACTCATCTGTTCATATTTTCTATCTCTTTGTAATATAGTCCTGCTAGGTTTTCTGTTTCTAAGAATTTGTTCTTTCATCTAGGTTATCTAATTTGTTGGTACATAATTTTAATAATAAGTCTTAATAAATTTTAAAAGATAGCTGTCTTACAAAGTATCTTCTCTGATCACAACAGGATGAAACTGCATTAATAACTGCTTTTTTTCTTTAAATGTATTAGTCTCTTAAATTATATGGAAAACAAAAAGTGCTCTTTAAAACCATTGTTACAAAAATATACTAGCTTTTATAATTGCCTGTGTTGTTACCTTGAGATCTTTATTTCTCTCTACAGATTCAAGTTAGTGTCCAGTGTCTTTTCATTTCACCTTGCAGGACTCCCTTGAACATTTCCAACAGGATGTGTCTAGTGGTCACAAACAAAAACTGAGGGAGTTCATCTGGGAATGTCTTAATTTTTTCCTAATTTTTGAAGGACAATAATGCCATTTTTTAAAGCACTTTGAATATGTTGGTGCACTATCTTCTGACCTCCAAAGTTTCTGATAAGAAATCTAATAATTTTTTTTTTAAGATTTTATTTACTTATTTGACAGAGAGACAGCGAGAGCAGGAACACAAGCAGGGGAGTGGGAGAGGGAGAAGCAGGCTTCCTGCTGAGGGAAGCACCCTGGGATCATGACCTGAGCCGAAGGCAGATGCTTAACAACTGAGCCACTCAGATGCCCCTCATTTTTTTTTTTTTTTTGAGATTTATTTATCTTAGAAGGACAGAGCTTGCGAGAGGAGGGGCAGAGGGAAAGAATCTTCAAGCGGACTCTGTGCCAAGCATGGAACCTGATGCAGAGCTCAATCTCATGACTCTGAGATCATGACTTGATCATGACCAAGAGTCAGGCTTAACCAACTGAGCCATGCTGGTGCCCCGAGAAATCTATAATCGTATTGAGGATTCTTGCATGTAACAATTTGCTTTTCTCTTGCGACTTTCAAGATTCTCTTTATCTTTGAAAGTTTGATTATAATGTATCTCATCATAGGTTTTTGAGTTCATCTTGGGAGTTCATTGAGCTTCTTGGATGTTTACATTCATGTCTTTCATCAAATTTAGGGAGTTTTCAGACATTTTTCTTCACTTATTGGTATTTCTGGGTTGCTGGTTTCTCCAGTTCTTTAACGCTGGGATGTATGAGGCAAAAACAAAACACAGGATCTACTCACCATCCTGCTGCCCCTCTGCTCTACCTGTCACTGGTCTGCCTTTCCACTTTTTAGAGCCTCTTATGTTTAATTTCTATATAATACCCAGGGGTTTATTTGTACGTAGAGGAATAGAAAAATACTTCCTGGAACTGGAAGTCTCAAGATAGTTTTATGTCCACATATATATTGTCTTTGATGTGTTAAATATTGATTTTAAATATGATTCTGTTATTTAGATAAAAAGCAAGAAAAAACACCTGAAAACAAAGAAGGAAAGAAATTCTACCATAGCAAGTCATCAAAACACCAGAGAAGAGCAAGAGGTATGCATTGATCTGGTTATTAACAGTTTTTGAAAAAAATGGTTGCAGGAGAATGGCAAGTCATTTCTTGTTACAATTCCTATGCCCTAATTGTTTTCCCCAGGAAAAGTTAATGACTTTGCTCGTATTATTTGCTATTTATAAAAACACAAAAGAACCTTGACAGATGAGAGGTGGGTTTTATTAAGGTACTGTATTTAAATTGCACTTAGTTTACTCTGAAAAGTATTTGAAGCATCTTACAAAGATACGTCTAGGATAGAAATTAAAACTAAGAAAGCTAAAATGGCCGTACAAAAATGTGAGAAGAGATGCTGCTGTGATACTGACTTTCATCATGATAGCATGAGGAGCTCTGCAAATCCATTCACCAAGCAAAAATTGGTGAACCCCCCCCACACACACACAACCATTTAAAGGTTCTGGAAATTGTCCTAAGGGCAGACAGCAAATGAAAAAAACATCTATCTGTGAAAATCTACTAAAACTTGGTAAAAAGAAAACAGCAAGAGCCTGTGGTATTTGAATCAAGATCCGCCCCCCCCCCCCCCCCCAATCCAGTGAGACTGAAACTCCACTCCTGACTAGTGCGGCCAAGAACACAGGGCCCCCTCTCTCCACAGATGCTATCTTCCCAAGGAGGGCAGGGCATCAGTATTTCTTAGCCTGCCTCCGGGTCCCTGTTGTTGAGGCGAAGTTCCAGGTGAGTGCAGCCAAGAGGTGGGGGCTCCTTTCTTCTACCCGGGCCCCATTCGTGAGACAGAGATTCTGCCGGGAATGCTACATGACATATTTTGGCCCCAGCTGCCCTTGCCCTAGCTTATAAAATGGGGATTCCACCCCGAAGAGGCCAAGAGAGAAGGCCTGAGGCTACTGCCCTCTTTCCACCTACAGCTCAGCTCCTAAAGTGGGTGTCAGAGAAGAGGGCCATTGTCCCCACCCCCAGCTCCAGAGACACTCAGGTCAGAAATTCTGCCTTTGGGGAGAACCAGACAAAAACAGTTTTTTTTTTTAAGAACTTTTTATTTTGAAAGAATTACATAGTCACAGGAAGTTGTAAAGAAATGTATGTACAGGAGCTCTGCTGCATCCTGTACTTCTCCTCCAGTGTTACCATCCTGCATACATCCTGCATACATTATACCATATCGATGCCATGAAACTGATGCAGAGCTTATTCACAGTTTACCAGTATGCATGCACTCATTTGTGTGCAGTATTCCTCATAAATTTTTAATTCTAGTCGAGTACACTGTTAGAGTAATATTGCATATTTTTACAATGATACCTTATTTTTGTTTGTAAATTGTGCAGTCTAAGCAACATGGGTATGCTTGGGAGAGGGTCAAGATTTTAAGAAAATTTGGGGAAACTAATCAATTTCAGTGTGTTAAGGCATTTACAGAACCCAAGAACCAAAGTAGATTTTGTTTGGAGGGATTATTTTTAAGTGTTTTGTATGTAGATTTTGTGAGACACATACTTCTCATAAACATATCCACAGAGTGGTTTTTTCATGTAAAATATAATAAATTCCTTTATATTAAATGTTTATATATTTTCCCCTTCCTTGATTGGAGCTTCAAATGTTTTATGAAATCATAATCTATATTTAATGTTGGATTTTCCAGTTGGAAAACAATCATTTGGTCATTTGAAAAGGCTGCACACATTATAAGTATGCTTATAAACTAATAGGAGTTCTTAGCCATTGATCTTGAAATTTATTTTCTAATCTTGGGCAAAAAAAGTGAACAGTATCATCTGTGCCTGAGGACAACTTAAATTCATTCTCTGAACTACTTCTTATTTTAATTGTTTGTAAGACATCCATATATCCCAAAAATATTTTTACGTTATTTTGAAGTATCTTAGTTAACTTTATTTCCTACCGGACATGCTCAATAATTGATTTGGAAGACTTTCAGTAAAAACAAGTATAGATTACCGTGGTTAGAATTAGGAGCTCATGTTCAAAAGGACACTGGCCTGGTGATTTTCAGTAGGATGAATGTAATAGTTTATTGTGGCTTACAGCATCGTTTCAATCAAGGGAAGAGGGCTAAAAATGACTGAGTTCATCAAATCAGGTCTTATCACAAGTGAATTTCTCCAGCCTAATTTTACCTCTTGTCTCTCTAGTGATTATATAAGGTTACTTTTAACTTTGTATAATTTTTTATAGAATGTGCCTTCAACAATCAAGTTTTGATTTTTTATCATTTCATTTTCATAATGATTATATCAAATTTTTTGCTCCCAAATTTATCTACAAAGAAGGGAATTTTAGTTTTTAACTCTATTTCATAGTCCACGTTTTTTTTCATAGCCCACTTTTCATCATGAGTTGATATGCGTAACATATTGGCAAAAAAATGTTGACATTTGCAATATTTTTTTCCTTTCCATTGCCTTTTTAGAAATTTCTTTATAATATTCACATACCACAGATGCAGAAACAAAAGTTTGGAAACAAACTTTTTAAACAAAGTTTGGTCACATGATTTGTAGACTATTCAGGATTTGTTGTCATAATTCTACAATGTTTTATGTCTCATTTAGTCTAGCTGGGTCATTATTGACAACTTTTTCAAGGTAGAAAGCAATGTGTATGCTCTTACTCTGGACTTTGATAAGCTATGAGAAAATATTTTTAATCTTTTTTATTTAAGTGTAGTTTTGTAATCAATTATACATTTTCACACAATTTTATGTATTTTTACTCATTTCATATTCTTACCTTCCTACATCTTTATTCTCATTTAAATGAGATTGTAAGCATACATTTTTTCTCTTTCTCATTGTCTCATTCTCAAATTCTATATGAAGTAAAAAAAATTTTTTAACTCCCTTTAGTAGTGCCAAAATATCAGTATTTTCTTCTTCTCATTGCTGCAGGAGAAAAGTAGTGTTATGAAAGGCATTAGGAGGTTCTGATTTAAGAGAGATTTTTGTCTACTCTAAACCTATGATGATAAAATGAGAAATGTTGAAAACTATACCAAGGATGATATATACCGCATTTTCATGTTTATAACATAGTATTGTTTTCCTTTTGGTTCTGTGGTCCATTAGGCATGTGATAAAGGACATTTAGTGCGAAGACACAGAGAATCAAATTCTGATGTGAAAGGTAATGTTCTGCTTCTACCCTCTCTAAACCGTTCATTCAATGAACACTTTCTGTGCCACATCTTTGAGGTTTCCAGCGTGCCTGGTGCTAGGGATATTAAGATGTATACTATACCATTTCTTACTCTCAGGAGCTCATCTTTTAATAGGGGGAGAAAAACAAATTAAGTGCAGTGTTATAGGTGCAATGCCAGTATTCTAGACTGGGTTCCTAGAGAGCACGAGGAAGGAGTGGTCAACTACACTGGAGGGTTGGAGTGAGCGGTTCATGGACTTGATGCAGATCTCTGATTTGAGAGGTTTTTCCCCAAACAATATAGGGATTCCTCTCGTTTCTTAATAGAGGATGAGCCCAGGAGAACAAAATTGTGGACTATTCATTTGCTTCTACTGGAATCTGCTAAGTTGGATATGAATTTGACTCTCTATTTGCATTACTCCCATCCAAGTACTAACCAGGCCCAACCCTGCTTATTAGCTTCCGAGATCAGATGAGATCGGGCACATTCAGGGTGGTATGGCCATAACTCTACTTGTTTATACATTTATACCACACTTATTTCCAAAAAAGGATTTGAGATAACCTAATTAAAATATATATATACACATGTATATATATCCATTTAGTTTATGATCTAGCAGGCTAACTAGAAATAGAAATGGGAACAAGAACCACACCAAGGAAAGAGGAAAATTCTACTATAACTAATACGGTTAATTGACTTGAAATTTAACTACTTTCTCATAGTGATCATACAAGAAAATCACTTTTTATATATAACTTTAATATATTCTGTTGAAAATTTAATATCAAAAATCAGAACTGAAAAGCACATTTTAGACCTTTTTCTACGTCTGAGCACATATACTCCATGTTAATCACAGAATGTTCATGTTGTTTTGCAACCTACATTTTCATTTAAAATTACAGTATATTATAAACTTCTTTACATATGTTATTAAATGGTGGCAAAGTATTCCATTGTATTAGTGAACCTTAAATTTAGCTACCTCCATTGTTAATTTTGCTTATTTTCTGTTACAATAATGAATATCTTATAACTCTACTAGAAAGGAATTGCTGACCCAAAGGGTATGAACATTTTTAAGACTTTTACAATAAAGAGCAAAAATGCAACAAAAATTCATATTTGAGAACTATTTGTATTAATTTATTGAGCTAAACTACATGCTATTTTCTAGCCTTTAGAAAAAAAAACGAAGTGTAAAAGACTCAAATATTTTCATGCTACTAATGATCTTTTATCATATTTTCTAGATATAAAGCCAAATGTATCAGATGATTGTATATTTGATTATTTCAGAAGACCATTCCCTAATCAAGGTTTGGGTGAGTAAACTAGGACAGTAATGAGTGCTCGCAAATCATCTGAATGTGTTATTTAACCATATGTATCTGATCAAGATTTACATGTAAGAAACTAGAGTATCTAAAAAACCAATAGCCAAGGAGAAATTCACCTTCCCAGAAATTTGTGAATCTCAAATTTTTATTTTTCTCTCTAGCTCTAGAAATTCATAAAGGAAGCCAGTAGAATTTCATCATATGTCAAATTGCTTTCTTGTAATTTTTACCTAGTCAAAAATAAAATACTCACCTCATTGTCTAATCTCTTCTAAAGAAGAAAGAAGCCCTTGAGAGTCCTCTAGCCTCACCTATTCATTCCAGGATCCAGCTTCATCCAGCCTTTGATTCACTACACTTGGTGACAAGTAGTTTACCCAATTGCCATACAGTTCATTCCATTGCTAGAGAGCTGTAGCATTGAAAATGTTCTTTTTCTGTTAAGCTAAAAACATGTGTCCCTGTAAAGTTCATCCACCTCTTTAATTACACAAAACAAAAAGTGGAATAACCTTAAAGGTAAATATTTCTGACAGACTCATTTTCCCTGATTCTCCTTGAAAAATGAGAACAAACGTAATGCCTCTTCCAAGATAGTATTTTTTTAAAGCTATCCTGTATTTCCCTGAAACTTTCCTTCCATTCTTTCAGCCATCCACAATACAGCATGATTCAAGTCCTTTTCCACCTGATTTTATTCTTTCCTGTCACTGTTCAAGCTTGAATGAAACTGAACACAGTATTACAGATGTCAGCTAGTAAGTGTACAATAAATCATCACTCTCACTTGCTTCTTTCTAGATACTAGTTTTCCATTAATGCAGCCTAAGGTTTCATTTGTTCTTTTGGAAACTATCCTAAAGTATTGATAAATTCGATTTGTGTATACTCAAACCTATAAGGTTTTGTTTTCATTGTGTTGCTGCTTAGTGTCTCCTCCATCTTCTGCTTCTTCAGTTGGTATTTTGGTTCAGTGTCCTGGGCCTTAAATTTATTCTTGCTAAATTAAATCATCTTAGATTCAGCCTTTCATGAACTCTTGATCTTGAATATGTCATTTTGTTGTATCTCTATATATTTATATGTATGCATATACAGATGGACATATCTATATATACATCTGACCTCTTGTCAGAGCTTTAGACTTATATTTAACTATCTCTTAAACATCTCCAGAGAGAGGTCTCACATATCCAAATTCAAGTTCATCTAATTCTACACTAAATGCTGTTCCTCTTGTACTCTCCATAACCTTGGTAGCAGTACTATCTATATAACCACCCGTTTCAAGCTAGAAACATGACAGTTACCCTTTTTTCTCCTTTCATTTCCATCCCTCAGATTCGGTCAGCCACTGAATCCAGTGATTTTTGCCTCAGAATCTCTTTATCTCCATTTTAACTGTCATCATTCTTTTCAGACTCTTATAAGATTTCTAATTGGCTTCCTTGCCACCAATATTGTCTTCCTAATTCCACTTTTCATACTACCATAAAAGTCATCAAAAACACCAATCAGATTATGTAAAACAACTACCTAAAGACTTTCACTAATTCCTAGTTTCCTAGCAGGGTTTGAAGTTGGCACAGTCCTAAGATTTAAAAAAAAAAGAGAAAGCCTACAAAAATTTAACTCTTAATTTTGAAATAATTTCAAGGATAGTATGAAGATTTCCCCCAATCCATTTTTTTGCAGACATCATGTGTCCTTATTCCTTAACAACTTCAACATATATTTTCCGAGAACAAGAACACCGTCTTACATTAAAATCAGGAAATTCAACTTTGATACAATACAAAATGTAGCAATAATGTCCTTTAGAGCACAAATGGCCTTTATTTTTTTTAAGATTTTTTTTTTTATTATTATTTGAGAGAGCAAGCAAATGCACAAGCAGGGGATAGGGGTAAAGAGAGAGGGAGAAGCAGACTCCCTGCTGAGCAGGAAGCCCAATGTGGGACTTGATCCCAGGACTCTGGGATCATGACCTGAGCTGAAGGCAGACGCTTAACCAACTGATCCACCCAGGTGCCCCAAAAATCACATTTAAATGCCACATCCCTTTATTCTCTTTCAGTTTGAAATAGCCGCTTAGCCTTTCTTTGTCATGCACAGCGCTGGCATTTTTGAAGATCATGAGCTTGTCTTATAGAATGTTTGGTTTTAAAGTTTTAATGTACGCGAGAATTACCTGGGAAGTTTATGGAAACCCCAGCTTCTGATTCTGAGCTGGTCTTTATAGTCAACCCCTGAATCTACATTTTTTATAAGGTACTTAAGATAACTCCGATGTTGGCTGGGGCACCTGGGTGGCTCAGTTGTTAAGCATCTGCCTGGGTCATGATCCCAGGGTCCTGGGATGGAGCCCCGCATCAGGCTGCCTGCTCTGCGGGAAGCCTGCTTCTCCCTCTCCTTCTGCCTCTGCTTGTGTTCCCTCTCTCGTTGTGTTTCTGTCAAATAATAAAATCTTTAAAAAAATTTAAAAAAGGGCGCCTGGGTGGCTCAGTTGGTTAAACGACTGCCTTCGGCTCAGGTCATGATCCTGAACTCCCGGGATCGAGTCCCACATCAGGCTCCCTGCTCAGCGGGGGGTCTCCTCCTCCCTCTGACCCTCTTCCCTCTCGTGCTCTCTGTCTCTCATTCTCTCTCTCAAATAAATAAATAAAATCTTAAAAAATAAATAAAATAAAAAAATTAAAAAAAAAGATAATTCTGATGTTGGCAATTTGCAGACCATACTTAGTAACTCACCTCTTCGGGAGCTATCCTGAGAGATGGTGAAAGGCCAAACAGTTAGGACCTAGCCCATCAAACCCTTCTTCATCCACATAGCTTTCTCTCTTTCGATAATCTGTTTAAAAGAAAAAGATTTTTTGACAACCACTTGCTACAGCATAGAAACCAAGTTATATAACATGATGTACAAGACTTCCAATGAACTGGCTCCTGACTACCTCTCCAGTTTTACCTCTTGCCATTCTCTGCCTTTTACTTTAGACCTCAGCAAAGATGATCTTCTTGTGGCCTCAGAATGTATGTCTTACCACACTATGCCTTTGCTCCTGCTGTCTTCTCTGCCTGAAACATAATTCTCCCTCTCTTTAACTAGAATAGCTACTCATCATTTAAGGAGTAGGTATTGAATTTTAGTAAGACTCATATACAGCTCATTTCAAGAAGAGTTAGTTAGATTGATAATGATATGCACAAACTGCTCTGATTGTTCAGAGAACAGGATCAAATCCAGCCTGGAAATCTTGGGGAATGTTTTCTTGAAGGAATTGATCCTTAAATTATGATGCAGCCTTAAATGACAAAATTGGGCACTTAGCAGAGAGCAGAGAGTCACTTCCTTGAATTCTTAAAAATTTTTTTTCTGTCAGTGGTTTTGTGATCTTATATGTAAATTCTTTCCTTACTTGAGATACAATATGTCTGGGACTAGAAATAACTCATTCAGAGCCTTCTGACTTCTGTCATCTCTTACCAATATTTATTCTCCCCTTTCTAGAGAGAAGAAAACTCTATTTGATAGAAAGACAGAAGCAACTTAAGAGCTGAGGGATTCTGCTCTTTGTCATCCATCAGGATGATTATTATTAAAATAATCCCAGCAGAACAGATTTAAACATTCTGTGATATATATTCATTCTGAATATAGCTAAGTAAAATTTACATCTTGTCAATATTTATTCATATCTTAACTTGGTATTTTAACCTTCCTGACACTGTTCTTCTATGTCTCAACCACGCTCTTACCAGTCTTTGTTATATAATCTCCTTATCATGTTTGTTCATATTCTTTTAAAAATCTGATGGTTATCTGCTTCCCAGAAGGCTCAAGTTATATTGTCAGGGATTGTGCTAGATACTAGGATACAGTGGAAATACAGTCTATTCTCAGTAAATAGAGTGACAAGTAAAGAGACAATAGAAATATAATGGGATCAATGCTACCTGCTGTGTTATGGGATTATATAGGAGTTGTTTGGGGATAGGGGAGTACCAGAGAAATTATATCAAGAAAGGCAACTGTTAGGATTCCAGGGGCCAAATTTTTTTTTTTTTTTTTTACCAAGATCTGAATCTATTAAGAATTAAGACAAAAAGACAAAATACTAGCAAACTGAATCCCACAACCTATTCAAGGATTGTGCACAATGACCAAACAATTTATCCCAGAATTTAACATATGAGAAAAGTAAACAATGTAGACTTCCAGGGAAGATGGTGGAGTAGGAGGATCCTATGATCACCTCATCCCGTGGATACAACTAGATAACACCTGCATCAGAAAACGACCCAAAGACTGGCAGAACAGACTCTTCATAGCTAAATGTAGAGAAGAGGACACATCCTTGTCCTACCCCACAAGAGGAGGGTAGGAAGGGCAGAGATGAGGTTGGGAGCTAAATAGACTGGTGGGACTATTTGCTATAGGGAGGAGTGCCATGAGTGCGGAAAGGAAAGAGTACCAGACCCTCACACCAAGCACCCCAGGCCTGGAGAACTTGCAAGAAAACAAGAGGGGCATAATTTTGAGAGTTCTTACAATCAGTAGGGCCTTATACCTGGAACTTTAAAAATCAGTGGGCTCACTCTGGGAGAGCCAGGTGGGCAACAGGAAACTTCAGTCCTTAAAGAAACCCCACCCTTACAGAAACAGCACAACAAACAGCCCCACTGAGCTACAGCATGAAAACAGCAGTTTGAAAAACACATGGGGTATTCAGGAGGGAGATTTGTTTACTTACCTCAGAGCATGTGCTAGAGGGACAGGGATCTTTGGGATACTTCTCCAGGAATGAAAGAGCTGGCAGGTGCCATTTCCCTACCCCACCCCTCAGCCTAGACACATGGACACCTGTGGGAAACAGTACAGTGCCAAAACTCATGACCTAACTTGCTAACACTGTGCCCCACCCCACATTCTCCTTCAGACACAACCCTCCAAGCAGGCCTTAGCTCCAAGTCATCTCCTACAG